TAATTGCGTACCAACGCGCCCAGCGCCATTTTGCTTTTGGTTTTCCGCTGTGATTCTGGTTGTGTGCGGGCGCTTTTTCGTTAACTTCCAGATTGTGGGATACTAACGCCCCAAACACCAGTTTATGGAGTAGTACCCTATCATTTTGTACGTTACTTTTAGTTGTTTTGGTTTCGGTACTATCCGTCCACTATCTAATGGGATGTTAACCTCCAGCGTGGAAAGCCATTGCGGAGAACTACCATTCACACTCATCCAGCTTGGTTTTGTACCTGCCTTGTAGCTGTTTCCCCTCCCCTTGACAAAGTACAGAGTCAACTTGCTTGACACCGTTTTTTTCATGTATATAATATGTATACAGGGTGTCCCAGAAATAATAAGCCCAGTTGACACGTGAGGTAGATTAGCTTCAGATCAATCAGATAAAATCAACATGACCTTAGTAAAAGTGTTCTAATTTTCAAGATATTGCCACGTCTGTTTTTTTGAACAATCCCCACTTTTTTCTCCTTTTTTTGCCGGTCATGGCTATAAAGAAGTTCTAACTTATGATTTTTTTCCTGAGCAACCACTAATAGTAAGTAGGGATATTTTGAAAAAAAGTTAAAAGTGGTAATACAGGTATCTTGAAAACTAGAAGGTCATGTTGATTTTCTATGATTGATCTGAAGCTAATCTGCCTCCCTTGTCACTCTGACGTGTTATTTCTGGGACACCCTGTATATACAATAAAAAAGGTGTCATAACTTCCTGAAATTTGAAGTTAACGGTATAATTCAAATTTGTCAAATATACCAGTCATAGAATTATATACAAATGAAACTAGCGGTATTTTCAACTAAAAGAAACTGCCTAATTTGCCTGATTATGCCACTGATTAAGGCCCCTACGAACTTGATCTGCGTGCGCCCTTGGTCCCGACGATTGAGTATCCGCGCTGCTGAAGGGGTGAGAAGGGAGTTTAAAAAGGAGAGATTTTTTGTTCCCGGCACGAAAATGCCACGCCGGCCGGGTTCGTAATTGGAGTAGCGGTTTTTGTGGGAAATAGGGGGAAAATTCGACGGAGAGCTCATATACACTGAGCACGGAAACTTGATTGCTGAAAGTGGAAACCCCCGGGAAAGGAGTAACTCCTAGATTGCTGTAGGATATAAATAACAATCTTTTTCAGAAGTTTCAAACACTTGACGGATAGAATATTTTTATATAGATGCATGCGTACAAGCAATTTTCTCCAACATAAAATAGAACTACTTTGGTAAAAAAATGGCATCAAGTAGGTACTTTTTGCGCAATATGGACCTTGCATCAACTTTTGTACGAACTCGTATCTTTATTGTTCGAAGGCTTGTACTTTGACATAAGGCTGCAGAGTAGTACGGATATCAGTAGAAAAAGTATTGTTGATTTGGAAAAAAATTAAATTATGGAATTTGAATAGGCCTATGGTATTTGATTCAACCGTACGTTCTGTTATCTTTAGTATTGGTCAGCAACGGAAACTCTTACTGCTGGTGGTGTAATCGAATGCATGTTTGACAAAAACATTGTCAACTTTTTTTAATAATTTGGAATAGCTTGCATATGGCCTGGTATTATAGCTGTTCGAGGTCCATAAAAACCTCTATATGTCTGTATAACGTCATGCGGTACCGTGAGTCCAAGGTACCAAATAGCTGAGATGATGCATTATTGATTCTTCGAAAAATCTCCAGATTCACAAAAGAATTTTCATTCGTTATTTCGCACCTGAGTTACTGCAGCTCTAATGTTGACACCGTACTTAATTAGTTATATCCAATAAGCTGTCCTGGTAGTCGAAAATGTTCGCGCGTCGTTGACGATCTCTTTCAACAGTTTAAGTAAAAAATTCTTCGCTTTGGTTTTCACCCAAAATACACTGGCAGAGGCTAGCCGAAATCCATGTATGAAGTATACCTAATAGGTGCGCAGAATTACTTGGGCTAGATGTTTGTCGACATAGTACCACCAAGAAATTGAGGTTTCCCCTCCCCCTCGCCTACAAACCGGCGCCTCAATTTTTTCAATCCCCAACAAATTTCATATATATGTAGGTGTCTTTGAAACGTCAAAAAAAAAGGTTTGAATGATTATTCTTTTGTTGTTTGCCCTTAACTCTGTGGTCACTAGACCGCTTTTCAAAAAGCACGTAGCATTTTGACCTTGTGTGAAAATTTCATCAAAGTCCGAGCGGCATTTTCAAAGTTACAGCCAGACCAAGGTCTATTGAACGAACACACCGGCAGATAGATCGACGAAAGTCAGTGACATGGTTTTTCGTGATGTAGATGTCATATAAAAAAAACATAATATCTCAAGTTCGACAGTTTTGGCGATTACAATACTCCCTTTTAAGTAGCTTGCGAAGTAAAAACAAATCTATTGACTACAGACTTGAATTGTATCAATACAAAAAAGTCCTCACGATGTCTCTAGACAATATGCATAAACACGAAAGTACCCGAGCTCATGGTTTAAGGGAGGCAACAGACTTTACGACACTGCTCCAAGTATGATACTTGTAAAAACAAAATACGAACGTACGTATATGCCGCTTGTTTTCATGGACCCTATACTCTATGCTGAACAGCGAGTCGTTTAAGGTACAGTCGTGTTGTTTCAAAACCAATATGTCAGAATTAAGGTTAGGGTATAATTCACTGCTAGGAGGGCAGCCCTGAAAATTTGTCGAATTCAGGGCGTATTGATTACATTTCCCCGCTTATAAGTTTGATTTTGTATATCCCTACGTTCTGACTTTCGCGCATGATTTTGAATTACAGGGTCCTAGTAAGGTAAAATATTTGTAGCCTTGAAATTGACCTTGATTTTGACCTTGAGGATAACAAGACGGTCAATCTAAGAAATCCAAGCTAATCCTTAACTTTTGATTCCGCAGTTAGAAATAAGGAAGAATCCTACTGCAGCCTATATCTTTAGGTTTGAGTTTGAGTCAGAGATCAAGTTGAGCATGAAAGGTATTTATGAATATTTGATGTATAAGAAATTGTAACTGTAACCAACTTTGAAAATACGCTAACGTTAGTGAAGTCTGGCATCGAACATTTTATGTAATGTACAAATATTAGGAGATTAATCCTATCTCAACATAGAGCTATTTGCACAATATGCATGTTTTGTTCTCACTTAGTGTCATCAGTGGCGCAGCAGTTTACAACACCCCGTATGTTGGCAATGGGGCATTCCAAGACTCATTCTTATAGGCACATTTTGGCTATTTGTGGATGTAATTTCTTCTTTATAAATATTGCCGCGATTTTCTGAAGCACCCCATATGACTCTATTATTTTGTTTTGTATTTATGTTATCTGTCTGCATTGAAACACCTTACTTCAAAAAGTGGCACATTTGTAAAAATACATGTTTGATTTGCCTCGTGGTCACGGACTACCTGCATACATTTTCTAAGTAATAGTCTAATCGTATCAACAAATTTTCTCGAAATAATTGTAAAGTCTGGTTTTATTGATGCAAGGGTATTTAAAACGTGGACACATTAAATGGGTACATCGATTTTTGTGGGAATACTTTTTATTCGAGAAGAAAGAATGAGAAAACGTATTTTTTGGGATTCAATCGAAAGTGTTGACAGAAACGAAAAAACTCTTCCAATAAGATTTTTAGGAATTTACGAGACCTATAGAGTGAGACCATCCGTAAAAAGATCCCACTGTTGGTAAACAAGTTATGGCCGAAAACCGAGACAAACTGCAGGTTTTGGCACTTGTTGCTAATGCGACGATAATTTCACGCAACTACTTGAAATTCTTCAAATCCGAAGGCTTCTTAGTTCTAAATAATCACAACCAAATTGGAGTCGATCGGTCTAGTAATTTTTGAGAATTTCTCATTATTTATCCGCAAACACCTGCCTTCCGGCCATCACTACTAGTTTATTAAGCAATATGCAGGGTTCGTACAATGGGCATTTTATAGCAAAATACACGAGTTTCCCTTGCCAATATGTATCACAAGCCATTTCAAAAGATAATTGTTATTTTTATGCGAAAAACGAAGGGTTATGCATTTTTCTTCTAAACAAATTCAACCATTTTGTATTTGTAATTGAACAGATTTGATACGATATTCGAAAAACGTACGTTATTACACACATTTTAAAAGAAAGCGGATGCGTCTATCACCTTTTATTGTGCATAATTTTTTGTTCAACATTTTTTGATACTCTTGCGTATACAAATTTGGAGCTGACATTTTTACACGGTCACAGGTGAGTCTTAAAGTGAATAAAAAATGCGCTGAAGCTGAAGATACAATTAGGTTTTAAACTGTCTTATTTTGTTTTGTAGTTATTACTAATAGGTAGGAAGCCTTTGGATTTGGAAAATCTCAAGTTGCTGCCTGAAACTGTCATCGCATTAGCAACAAGTGCCAATAACCTGCATTTTGCCTCGGTTTTCGACCATAACTTGTTTACTATTAGCGGGATCTTTCTACCTTTGGTCTCATTCTGTAGGTCTCATAAATACCTAAACATCTTATTAGAAAAGCTTTTTAGTTTCTGCCAACACTTTCGATTGCATCCCAAAAATCATGTTTACTTATTCTTTGTTGTCGAATAAAAAGTTTCTCCTACAAAAATTGATGCACCCATTTAATGCGTCCATGTTTAAAATACCCCATTGAACAGCTTGCATCAATAAAACGAGACTTGACAATTATTTCGCAAACCAGGGGTACTTTCCTCTAATATGATTATACTATAAGACGTAACTACCTGCAATCCTTGAAAAGTTATTTTTGTATTAAGAGAGCAAAGTACTACTTCGAGAAATGCTTAAAAATGTTTTTATAGCAGGGCTGATATCTGACATTCTGGCAACGTGGAAGCATTTCATCGTCGGTCCGACCATAACCAGTTAAGGGTCAGTGATTTTGTACTTGTGATTTACTGTTAGAAAATCAACACAACACACTTCATGTACTGGAAAGCTGTCAGATTAAAAGACATCAAGTACTAGCTACTTTGAAATGTTATTTTCGATGGCCCTTTTATATAACATAAATTGTTTTATAGGGTCGATTTCACCAACATTATTATTATGGACCAATAGGAAAATACCTTATCGAAATGCAATTTGACGGAAGCTGTCAAAGGTCTCAGAATATCAGTAATTTCTATTAAAATGTTGAATAAAATCGTGATATTTCGACTGTATTATAAACAAGACCACTTTTTGATTCCAACATGATGCTTTTGTACAGAGAAAACAGGACAACTTTCATGTATTTTGATTTATGTTATAGGTGTACATTTGACCATCCGTTATCCTCTCAGAGAATGGGAATGGGAGAAATAATAGGTCGATTTTCTAGCTGTTAAATTTGGCAGCAGGTTTGGTCGTTTGTTAATTCATGGCAATCTCGAAATTTGTTAAGTTCAATATACTGTGTGTATATTATGAGATCATTATAGCTACACATACCTGTTGAATTGTGCGGATTTGCAAGAAAATAGAACATAAAATGTATTCCAACCAATTCCTCATCTCTCTTTACATCATAATAGTAATCATTTGTTATAAATTCATGGGTTAATGAATATCTTCAAAGCAATCAAAACAATATGTCGTCCCCATCCTAAAACACCGATATGCGTAAAACATGTTAATCCCTACATCTCCGAGGTGCATAATGCAATTACTGTAGATATAGACCTAAAATTATTAGTAATTACTGAAAAATAATGTCGGACTCATGCACGACTTAACGTAACCGAATTTAAGGATCAGCTGTTTCTACACCAGTGTCATCCACGTGTTACGCCGCCAGATGGTAACTACTTAGTGATTTCCAGTGGTGGTCAACATTTTGGTGACGTCACAGCCATTTTTTGACATGATTCGGGTTGTTTCGGAACTCGTTTTACCCTTGGATAGCCCTTTCTATACTGTTCTACGCTCGAATTGACGTAATTATAATAATTCTGTGGTGTCTCGTGTTCCACGACGATTTACGGTCAAAGCCAGGCGGTGAATCATCTGTTGTTTTTGTTTGAGTTGTTGACGAATTTGCGGTAGAGATTTGTTTTGGCGTTCGTCTTCGGGTGCGTTTTTCTGCCTTGGACTTGTTTTTTGTGCGATTAATTGAGGATGGCCATGCCTAGAGCAAAAAAAAAACGAGAGCCGCGCTGGTATCAACTCCTGACCGTGGTGAAGAGGTACCTGCAGAAGGCACCTGAACGCAATCGGACATCGCCAGAGGAGCGCCTAATGATGACGTCGTGTACAGGTTAAATCTGCACGAACCCCTAAATACGTGGTTATGTTGAATGTACCATCACCGTTGGTGCGACTGATTGTACACTGAAATTAAAAGAACTGCAACTGCAATTGTATGTATGAATGTTGAAACTATTGAACAGTTTCGGACCAGTGGGGTTAAAATATCGTTGAGGAACTGGAAAGAAGTGTATGAATGTGTTGAAATGCAACACCTAACAAACATTTGAGTGAAAAGGCTTTTTCACGTAAGGGTTTGGAAGTGCAAGTTTGCAAATATAGGATAAACTATAAGCACACAGTAGGTGATATAATCACATATGGATTACAAAAGTTGCAGTAAACATGGAAAAACCTTCAGCTAATCTGAAAAAATAGATTTTACTCAGACATCAAGCAATTTTAAAAATTTAATAAACTGAAAAGATTTCAATGGCAAGCTGTCACTTCATATTTTACAGCGTTTTGTTTTGAATACTTTGATGCTATTTGCTGCCAAAAATTTTACTGAGAGATCTTGAGGCTGATTGGGTATATTTAACGGACTGTTTGGTACTCGTACCCTATTGGTGCAGAAGAATGGTTTGTAAAATTGTGAAATCCACCCTATAAAAGTATCATAACAAGTCGTAATTCACCTTACTCAAAATAATTTGAATATAATGGTCGAAAGTCACAAGATATCTAGGTATTAAGATTTCGCTTCAAACTTCACAGCGTCTTCCCCGATAAGACAATCACAACAACGTTCACCTTAAGTCCATAGGTATAGGAATAGCTTCCCTACCGAAGTTACAATAGGTTAGCTTGTACTGTTGAAGACAAAAAAGGGTGAAGTGACTATGAAGTGAAACTTACTCGATCTGTTGGTGAGCGAAGTATAACACAACGGCGCCGTTGATCCTTCCGTGGGGCTGTCGGGGACCTCCAACACGGTCGCGGCGCCATCACTTTGATCCCAGTTCTGATACTTGTTGCTTTGTTTTTTTACCATGTAGCACCGGGGCATATCTCCTGATTAACCGTATCACAGGTGGGACCTAACGACAAGCAACAAGTTGTGCCACAGGTAAGCAGGTTGTTTACCCAGCAAGAGGTGCTGGACCATCACCGTTCAAACCAAGCGCGCGCTAAAGGACTTCACACAAGGCCGCGAACACGTTACGCTGCATTAACATTGCCGATACGTCTTTGCGATAACTCGGACATGTGGTAGTAAGATGTAAAGACGCGAGCCCGACGTGTATTTTGCAAATGTCACTCTCACCACTCCCTGGGTGAAATGCGTCCCGACGCCGATACCACGCTGCGACGTTGCCAAGTGTCCGGGTATGTGCCGGCCGGTTTCCAGGTTCCGGGTTTGACAGGAAGGACGGTGGCCTATTTTAGAGGTCGCCAGCTTTTTACATGGCACATATTTCTGAGACGCTGCGGAAAGGTTGACATTTGCACTTCAAATTGTTTTTTATTATTCCTTAAGTTCGGTGAAACATCACGGTGTCTCAGGAGACTCAGCACAAAATGAAGAGTAGGCACTTCAAAAATATTGTTCTCAATCTAAAGCAGTTGGTTGCATGAACAAGTAGATACATGCGAATAAAGTAGCATCTGGTACAAAAACCACTTAGAAAGCAACTTAAGGTAGTATTTGCGCTTAGCCAGACTTGACAGAAATACCTGTAACAGTTTTTTTATTGACACGTAACTCTGATCATGTTGAGTAAAATCGACTGCCTTGTACTTGAGTTCGTAAGATTATGCATTAGGACGCAATTGCAATTTTTAAAGAGCAACTCCTGTCTAGAGTATAGTTGTTGAGGTATGTGGCTTGACAGTTGATAAATTCGTGCTTAACGTGGTACTTGTTCATATTTCCTAATGTTGTTGGTCTCAGTTCTTCCAAACAGTGGACCAGATGATCTCAGCTCATAGCTAAGTAACATCATTGATTTGTTTGGATGACGGATTTTGGCAGTCTCTGATAGTCAGAAATTCTTTGTTGGAAATAATTGTATTTTATATAAAAAAACGTGTTATAAAAAAGGTTGTAAAACTGACCGTTTGAAACTGAAAGAGCATTTAAACCTGATTGAGGAATGAGAATTAAGTTTTCGAAATAGTTTGCGGGGGATCAGTAGTCTTTGGAATTTGCCATTTTGGCATCAAAGCGAAGAACAACCGGTTTCTGTCATCAAACTGCGATAAATTTCATCCCTGTCTGTAGTAGTACTTTTGCCTTAGGCAAACGATTTTGTGCTTGTCGGCAGATTGAGGAAGTTTGCCTCGCTTGGCAACACTGCGCAACGATGCCAGAAACAGCTTACATACAATATCATCACTACGCATGCGCCCCTCTCCAAAGGGACGATCGATCCACTCGACACCTGTTACCGAGTATGGCGAATTCTCCCTAGCGCTTTTTATCCCCCATCTTTTCCCCTAGTGTGATCTCTTTCTACAGCGCACAAAGTGGCGATGTTGCCAGAGTGGTGTGAATTTCTGCGAGAATAATATTTTCTGCTTAAACCGGGTGTTACAAATTTGGACCTCACCATAGGGATTTTGGAAAAGGTAAGGTATTCCAAGTCGCCTAAATGGGGGCAAAGTTGCGTATGTAGGTAACTAACAAAATGCAGCTTCGAAAGCCTCAAAATTCAATGTAATTTCGGACAGAGACGGAGATAATCGGATTTTCTCAAAACCGTATTAATTTGTAGTGGGATTTTAAAACAAATTAGACTTCCAATATGACGTTTCGCCTTTCGTCCTCCTGCAACAATTTTATTTTTTCTTAAGGACGCCGTATAGGATTTTTGCGCAGATAAAGACAGTTTTTGATTTTGGTTTCATAAATGAATAAATATGCCATACATTGGCATTGCCAGCCAAACCTAAGTTATTCCATGGAAACAGAAGTTCCTAGGTAGGCCTTTAAATTGTCGGATTTTTCATTTGTTTCGTATACCAGACCAGGCAACGAACTGAACATAATAATAGAATTTGGAAGACTGGGAAGAAGGGAAATAAATCGAACACTGAGCAATGTACAGAGAAGGGTCAGGCTTTGCCTGCAAAATAACAGACAACATTTTAAGCATCTACTAAGGAAATACATTACTGAGTTCAGGACTGAAAGGTCCATTCAAGTGTAAAAAATTTCAATATAACGTCCATATGGAAAAACAAAGTTGGTGATGGAAGTCGAAAGAAGAACCAAGAATCAGGACCATATGCAATTTATGCTGAAATCCCAACTCAAATAGAGTCAGGAAAAAATAGTAAATGTTTTGGGATAAATCTGGTAAGCAAAACAAATGACTATCTCATAAATTCAAGGCCTACCTCGGGGAATACTGCTTTTATTGTATTAACTAAGCCTTGGCAATGTCAATGTATGCTGTATTATACGTTTTTGAAACCATAATTATTATTATTCATCTATGAAAATATCAAATATGGCGTCCTTAATAAAAAATAAAGTTGATGCTGGAGGATAAGAGACGACACGTCATATTGAAATTCTAATTATAACATCTTGTAGAGGAAAAAAGTGGTAGTGTTAATGTGTAATTTATTTTGAAATTAATCTACAAATAAGGTACAAGAAAAAACGAAAATGGTTTGGGGGATATTCGTTTTTTCCATCTTTCAACTTCGAAACTCTCTAAGAAGCATTTTTTAGTTACCTAAATATTTGACTGCATCCCCCAAAAAAAAAAAAATGAGTGCCTCTATAGCGTACTTCTAGGCGAATGTCACACGGTCAGTATTTACTGTGATCTATAAGTAATTATCATGAAATATGGTACTTATTGACCGTGTAGTCAAGTGGTCATTATTTATTGATCAGGTTACGTAGAAAACCACTGACACTGACGTCATGATCCATAAAAACTGATAGTTCGGACCACAGGACCACAGTAGATGCCGATAGTATGACATTCACCTTAGTGAGCATAGTACCGAGCTACAGGCAGTCAGACTGATGGAACATGTAACCAAAGGATGCACCTTTAACATGAGTACTGGCATCCTGCTTTTGGATATCTCAAAAGCCTTTGACAAGATGTGGTACGCGGGCCTCCTCGATAAACTAATCCAAAACGGTTTTCCATTTTGACTTCTAAAACTGCTGAAGAACCGATTTTTTTGACCAAAATCAGCAATTTTTTGTTGACAACATGGCCAGTACAGACCGGTGCTCCTCAGAGCTCGGACCTAGAACCAATCCTCTACTCGCTTCTTGTCCACGACGTCCCTTGTCTCAGCAACTGTGAAGTCTACCTCTATGCGGTGGAGGAGATACCAGAGTGGGTAGAACGGTGGCTGATTAAAATGAATAATTCCAAAAGGCAGGCTCTAAATTCTACCAAAAAACGACTTGGCCCCCAGCGGAGGTTTTGGTAGACAGAAATAGCGTAACATAGGAAAATTATGCCAAGTATCTCGAGATCCCTGCAGACTTCGACGAAGGTTTGACCTGGCAGAAACATAAAGCAGCCTTGAAAACAAAATTCCAAATTACGAGAATACCCTTTGCAATGCCGATCATCCAAACTGAATTTGACCAACACAGCTCGACTATGTAAAATGATTATTAGACGAGCCATTAATTATGCATGCGCGACTTATTTTACCTCGCCAAGACACACGTGCAAAATCTTCAAGGACTGGAAAGTAGAATGAACAATTTACAGTTTCAGGTATGTCTCAAATGAGACATTCCTCGGAGACGTTGACATTCCTTACTTGAGTGATTTTCTCAAGCTTCAGACGCAATGACGTTATCGTCAAGCCGAATCGCACATCAGCGCTGTGGACTACTGGGTGGGGCAAGATCATAAATATTCAAGGCACTATCTTAAAGTGATACATCTCTGTTTTTCTTTGCTCTCCTTCTCTTACCCTCTCTATCTTACCTTGACATTGTCTAGTTTCTGGGCAGTCAGGATTGAAAGACTCGACAATCGTTCATTAGACAGTGACTAATGGGCAAAGGTCCTACGGACCGGTCATTCAAGAAATTGACGAATAGTTATTTGGCGAAATGTGAAAATAGAATTGCTGGGAAAACCATTCGGTAATTATTAATACTTGACAGCTATATAAGAGCAGAGCTGAGGTACTGCGGTTAATATGATGTAATTTATGCCATCTGATTCTTGAACTATCTAACAGAGGTAGATCTATTAGAGAAAGCTTCTTTTCGCTTATTGTTCCTAATTGGTAAGAATGCATCAAAATAAGATAGTGAAGAATAGAAAATACCGTCAGCATATAGTAAAGAAGAGAAAATAGTCAGCATATCCTTACAAGGATCAGATCATCCCCCGTCCGTAAATATCAGATATGCGACTGTTAGCCAAGGAAGTGTCTCTGATAAGGGAAGTTTTTTATACCGAAGCGCGCAGGTAGAAGCATAAACACCACAGCACCGTGGCTTCTATGAGGAGCTTAAGCAAGCTTTGTTAATCCAATTTGCGAACTGCCTAAGTTTAGTAGAACTCGACACCATCGGGATAAGGGAGCGGTCGTATCGAACAGTTCTGTATGCATGAAATATGATACGTTTAGAATGGAAGGATGAAGTCAGGCGTGTCTGTGGAGCAACGCTCGTTGGCCCAGCGGTAGAAGAGAGCTAGATCGCCGAGAGCCCTTTGGTGCGAAAGATCCCGAGACTGCCCGTTAGAAAAAAGTCATCGATCAGTCGGACTGACCTCCTCTGAATAGCATCGAGTATGGGTGATGTAGGGCGGCAGAACCCCAAACCTGTGAGCAGTACTCGAGGCTAGATTTTATCTTAGGCACAGTGAGGTGGACATGTGAATTGGCCTTTTCTAAAGCGCAATGAACTCAACTGGACTGTTGCATCCCCAAACAGTGACAAGCTCCCCTCTGTAAGCTCCAGATCTTACATCAGAAATGAGGTTCTCTCCAGGTCAACCACAGAGTCTGGCACTCTGAATGATTCCTATATTGATCATCCGTACTGCA